ATGCTCAGTTGCTGGCCTTCCCTGGATACAAGCCGCTAAATACAGGCACCAGGGTGTAAAGGTGGTGCTCCCTAATATCCGTAAGAGAGCATCAAAGGGGGGGATGAAGTGGAAGTTTTGTCCAGGATTTTGTTAGCACAAAGCAACTTCCCTATTTTAAAACGGTCCCTGTTTTTCTGCCAATAACTGCCTCTTTCTGCTTCTGTACCTCAGCTTATTGCTTATTAGCTACAAACCTTAAGGAAAACTTCCATGTCATCTAAAACCTGCTGCATTGTCTAAAGTTCTGAGTTACTTCCCCTGCCCCTTCACCTATAAAAACTGTGTACTTTTCTTAGCCGGAGTCCAGACTTTTGGGTGTGAACCTTTCTGGGCCCGCCGGCGTAATAAAGCGTGTTCCTCCATTCCCCTGAGTGCCGCTAGGGTTTCTTGTCAGGTAAAATTTTCTGCAATACCAGGAGATGGAGGTTGCAGTGAACTGAGATTGCACCACTGCTCTCCAGCCGGGGTGACTGAGCAAGACTCCATATAAACAAAACAAAACAAAAGAATATGTTCTTTCTAAGGAATATATACTTAAGCATTTCAGGGTGATATGTCACATCGGGGGATTTAAATCATCTTAAAAGATATGAGGAGGAATATATCAACAGAATCTGAAGCAGCAGCCAGTGAGGTAGGAGGAAAATCTGGAGAGCACAGGCTCCTTGGAAGACCAATGAATCATGTGTCTCATGGAGAAGTGATAAACTTCATTAAGTATTACTGGTCGAGGTAGATGAAGATTGAGAATTGACTACTGGATTTAGTTATATGAATGTTATTGGTGACTTTGGTAAAAGCAGTTTGAGTAAAGTGATGGGGTGAAAACCTGATTGGGGTGAGTTCAACAGAAGTTAGGAGGCAAGAAATAGGAAATGACAAGTGTAGACAATAATACTGACACCTGGAATTTTGCTGTAAAGGAAAGAAAAGAAATGGAGCGATAACTGGAAAGGAAAATACGATCAAGAGAGGATTTTTTTTTAACAATGAAAGAATTGGTCAGTTGAAGTCCTTCTACCAGTGAGTGACAAGGGATAAGATCTTTTTCACAAATGGAGGGGTTGTGCCTTAACTAGAAGCATGGAGAAATCGTCCATACTAACAGGATAGAAAGCAAAGAACACAGGGGAATAATGCTGGGAAGTGAATTGATACAGGAGAAGGAAGCGGCTTGTGGAAACTCTCTTCTGACTGCTTCTGTCAACCCAGCGAAATTGGAAGCAAGAGAGATGAGAGAGAGGTGTTGAGGGTCTGAAAAGCAGGAAGGTATGAAACAGGCATCTAGTAGAATGGATGAGTGATTATATTAGATAAATGAAATATGATTGCCAGGTAGCATGAAGGGTCTGCTTGACATTAATATTGATGGATTTCATTCAAGTGAGACCAGTCAGCATGATTGTTTCTTCAACCATGTTCATCTGCACAGGCCAGATGGATTTAGCAAAGTGTATTAGTTTCCTGTTGCTGCCATTACAAATCATCACAAATGTTAAAATAACACAAATGTATTATCTTTTATGTTGCAGGTTATATAGGTTAGAAGTCTGACACGGGTCTCGCTGGGTTAAAGCTAAGGTTGCAGCAGGGCTGTGTTCCCTCTGGAGGCTCTAAAGGGAGAAATCTGCTTCTTGACTTTTCCAGCTTCCAGAGGCCACACACATTTCTTGGCTCATTGCTCCTTCCTCCATCTACTGAGCCAGGTAGGACAGGTTGAGTCCTTCTCACACTGCATCACTATGACCTCCTCTTCTGCCTCCCTCTTCCAATTTTTGCTTTTTTGGAGACCAAATTTCACTCTTGTAGCCCAGGCTAGAGTGCAATGGTGCAATCTTGGCTCACTGCAACCTCCAGCTCCTGGGTTCAAGCAATTCTCCTGCCTCAGCCTCCTGAGTAGCTGCAATTACAGGTGTGCGCTACCACATCCAGCTTATTTTTGTATTTTTGTAGAGATGGGGTTTCACCATGTTGGCCAGGCTGGTCTCGAACTCCTGACCTCGTGATCTGCCTGCCTTGGCCTCCCAAAGTGCTAGCATTACAGGCGTGAGCCACCACACCCAGCCGCTCTTCCACTTTTAAGCACCCTCTGATTATACTGGGCTCACCCAGATATTCCAATTTCCCTATTTTAGGGTCAGCTAGTTAGCGACCTTAATTCCTCTCTACCATATGAGGGTAGCATATTCACAGGGTTCAGAAAGCATGTGGAGATCCTCAGGAGGCCATTACTCTGCTTACCATACGAAGGCTATGGTCTTGCCAAGCCAGTACAATGAAGTGTGAAAGAGAAAAAAAAATAAGTTAAAGTTGTATACAAGGAAGCCTCCACAATTACTGACTCTGAACTTCAAACTCTATAAGGAGAGAAGTGAGAACCTGAGGGGTGT